TTAATTTGGCAACAGTGTATCCTTGTCATTCTCTTTACAGAATGAAAAAGAGAGACTGATGTTAAATTCAGTTTTGTTTTTGGCGGGATCGGGAAGCGTCACTTTAGTAGTTTTGTTTTATTGTTAAATATTGTGTTGTGGCGAATGTTAGTGTCTAATAATGGTGGATTATTCACTAAGTGTTCGGGAACATGCACAAGTGTTGGCAAGTGAAACAAAATAGCGGAAAGTGTCTTTCGATGTTCCCTCAAGAAGTTCATAGGGAGGTTTCAGTAAATCTCCACACTTTTACTGAAACATAGGGAAAGTGGGATTGACTTGACTGCCCCTTACTTTGACTTGATTTATTATTTTGACCACGAGTGCTATAGTATTTGTAAACATTTTAATACTTGACATTAAAACTAAAAGCACAAGCCGTGAGAAGCCATTTCGAAAAAAAAAATTGTTTTAAGTTTAAAGAATTATGTCAGAATCGATACTGGTGTCGATTCTAGCACGATTCTCTAAATCTAAACTTAAAATTGACAACAGTGGTGGTTTTCCAATTACAGAGCATAATGCGACTCAGTGGCGCACAATGCCGAATTATGCTGATGCTTAATTGGAAAGTGAATTAGTTTTCAAATGCACCAGCAGAGAGTACTAAGTTCAGTGTTGAAAAAAAAAGTCAATGTTTGTACCTTCATCCATATTTATATTTAATTTTTTAACACGGTTTGAATTAACTTTGATTATTTAAAAAAAAACTATAATGAACTATTTTTCAAAAATAAATAATATTACTAACGATAACATATAAATAAAACATTTCAATCAATGCCAACTTAAAGAAAACACACTTGTTAATTTTCTGTCTCTGAGTTGGTATGATTGCACGCATCACACGAAAGCATTACTTTTAAGAGTGCTCGATTGTGCGAAGCGTTGCTGTAGTTGAAACACTCAACGTTAAGCATTATGCCGCATAATGCGCTATAATGCTGTAATTGGAAAGCTACCAGTGTATCCTTGTCGTTCTCTTTATAGAATAAAAAGGAGAGACATGTTAAATTAAGTTTTAAGTTTAGAGAATCACGTCAGAATCGACGCCACTATTGTTTGGATTAACTACCATCTGATTGAACCCTAGATTTAAACAAATCCCTTTTAGGTGAAGAGTGTACGGGCCGCAAACAGAGGCAGATGAGTTATACAAATTAATCCGCCGCAGTTTGTGCGTTGTTGCACTTAGGCCGCGTTGGTATTTTGTGGTATTTTCATACACAAACTGCCTCTGTTATAACTATGTTACTGGTCTGTTAGGATTTGACGACATACAATAAAAAATATTTAACAGAGTTGATTATTTATTGTACGTCCATACGATGGTAGTCTTTCTGTTGCGCTAATCGTATTTGCTTTTGTAAACTTGATAACGGTCTGTCCTTATCATGCTTAATATGGAATGAGACAGACAAACTTGACAAAATGTCAAGTTTACAAAACGCAAATATGAATTTCCAAATGAAGTGCCGCCATTAAAACTATTCGTAATTGCTTTATGTGGACTTGACAACAGTCTCTCCTTTTCACTCTCTATTGAGCAGGGTTTCCTGACCTTTTTTTTGTCGAGGCTGCCCCGGACTATAAATCATATTTCTACTTAAAAAAAAACACATTATGGTACTTAAAAGAGAGTTAAAAGGCTTTTTTTTATTTTTAATAAACAAACTTTAAAAGTTAAAATAACGAAAGAGTAAGTAGTAACTAATGAGATTGCATGTTCTGCACTAGTTGGTTGATTCTAGGTTCTGTTTTTGCTAGAACTATCATCAGGTCGCTATCGACATCAAGACGATGTTATTTGTTAATAATTTTTATTTGCTTTTTGCTTTCTAAAACGCTTTCCGCCCCCCCTTGACATCTCTCTATGCCCCCCTTGGGAGGCGCGCCCCCCTGGTTGGGAACCCCTGCTATAGAGTATAATAAAGACAACCGGCTGTCAGAATAATAGTAGATAATGAAATTAAATGTCATATGAAGTAAGGTGAACGGCCGGCAGTATGTCGGCCATCTGATTTGTGTCATCTGAATGTCATGCTTATAAATATAAATTATTTTGAATGATTTGCATTGATTATTGATATTTTTACGATTACAGAACAGAACAATATTGACTAAGATAAAATATTACACTTGCTTTAGTGCAGTGCCATATACTTATATTACTCTTTGGTGCAGTGTGAAAGTAAACAGACTGGTATTTTGTAGATTTTGCGATAGATTGTTGATACCTGAGATTCAAGGTGTTGCTTCAGTTTAAATCCCTTTAACTTCATATATTACATACTATGCAAAAACTGACGTAAGTTTTGTAGATTTAATATTTTTGAAATATTTTTCCCATCTGTTGAACTTCTTATTAGAGGGAAACATAGTTTAAACAGTAATTTAAAAAAAAAATGCTTAAATTGATACCTAAACTTCATATTTTTTGCATATTTTCAGGCCCAAGAGTTTAAAAGAAAATATAATTTATTGAAATCATTAATAACAATCTTGAAAACTGTTACACATTGGCAGAAGATACAGGTTATTTTCAAATTAGTTAAAACCTGAGGTGTAACCCTTGTGTCTCATAGCATCTTTATGCTATGACTGGGTTGCCTTTTGGTTACAGTCATAATTTATTAATAAATTTAATGTTAGTGTTTTCATAACCCTTTCAACACTCTCATCAACACAACACTGGAAGGATCAATGATAATTAAATTAAAAATTAGGAAAAGACAAGGACTCACCTCTTCCCGTTTACTAAAATTTACATTTTTATTGCTTCTTGTTTATGTGTTACATTACATAACTGTTGGTTGAATCTAAAGAAAAAAGTTAAATGTTAAAAAAAATCTAAATATAATTGTTGGTTTTAGGAACTTTTCAATGGCCCTTATTTACATTGCCAGTCTTCTCTATTTTTTGAAATTGTACAAGCATCACCATTAATGATTGCCCAAAATAAATTATATTTTATTTTTGATACATTTACTTAGTATGATTTAAATTGATCTCCTTATTTTCATGTCAATATCTTTGTATTATCTAGTGTAGCTCCATATCTCATTGTAGGTAACCCTATAGTGCTCAGAAATACTAGAGGAAATTTGACACGGCCATTAAGATGTCAGTAGCATAATTGGTTAGTGTATCTGCCCAGATAGCAGAATATGTGGGTTTTGAATCCCATCTGAAACCTTGAAACCCTTCATTACATTAGTATTTAAGCAGCAGGATGATTTGATAAATAGAAATTTCCCCTAAAATCCAATGGATTTTGCAAAAACACAGACTATTACACAATGGCGATGGCATTTCTCAATATTATGATTAATTAATTGGTTACATTTTTTATGAAAAAGCGAGGCGCTTCTGTTAGATTGCGAAAATAATTGTTGGCTTATTATAAATATTCTTTGGTTCACACTAGGTTAGTTTAAGTTCTTGTTGTGACCTTGATGCGCGAGCCGAACGAACATAGTGAGCTTGCCAATGCAGCGGCCAGTAAAACTCCAGAAAAAAAAATACATTAACAAGATGACTGAGTAAAGCCACTAATTATCCTAGAGATTTTGCAAAGATACATAAAAATAAAAATAACCATCCTATGGCTTAAATATCTACAAAATAATATATTGTAATGAATGTCAGCATTGTTTTAATTTATATTTTTTATGCTTTTCACAAAGCTTAATCACCTTTAGAAAAAATTTTTTTTATTAAAATTTATCACTCTTTGTTTCTTTATTACTGGCATAGAGATAACTTGTTCTGTTAAGGAAAATTAATGATATTATACTGATTTTGCTTCTATATGGGTACTTTATTATCAAGATAATAGAATTAAGAAAATAAAAGCCAATGATCACCCCAGTGTGGTGCCAAATTTACAATGTGAACATTTGCCATGATAAAATTTCTTGTTAGTTCTAACATACAAAAAAAGAATCATAATATTTCAATTTTATTTTTAATGTTAGGTTTTTACAGGCACATATGAAAGCAACTCCATTAAAATACAATCCCAGCAATCTTTATCTTTCTGTACCTGGCCAGAGCCAGCATCCCCTGCCTTTAATTTAAAAAAATAGTAAAGTGGCACTGTGGTCATCACAGTGGATGGTAATGCTTATGAATATGACTCTATTAAGGGCTTTGTTCACCATCTCTGAGTAAAGTGTAGAGTAGACTATTCGTCATTCGATCTTTAAGTAACGCTAATCAACGGTTAAAGTAGCATGTAAATTATTTTTAACTACGACGGAGTATTAATTATTCATTCAGTTGTTCAAATTGGAGTTTGTGGTATCCCCAATTGTCTACGCCTGGCTCCCTCTCTCTTGTCTGTGGTTAACGTTTTCTATTTAATTATTAAAGCTATAATTAATTAATTTTCGACTTTTTCTTGAATATAATATACCTATTAACTGAACCTTTTCCATAAGTTTAATCCTTTGGCTTTGTCTAGAGATGTAGGCTTCGCTCCCCATTTTTTATCGCGCTTATCACGGGGAGCTGCTGCTTTTCGCCATCGTACATTGCGACAAAAATATCATCCCATCATCTTGATGGGTGGCTGTCCACAACGTTGCGATTTAGTCGATTTTCAATACAACATACGACAAACTGTGGAATACATTGTCACCAGGATTGTTACCGGCCAATACGACCCGAATACCTTAAAAAAAAATAGCGTACTCCCTCCTTAAAAGCCCCCATCGCATTTGTGTTTCTCCTGGTGTTGCAGGTGTCTATAGGTGAGCTGTTAGCTCGAATGCCCCCTTTAATATGTACTTATATAATAAAGTTGTATCTTACTCTACTGTATTTATAAACAAATCTTTTTATTTTGTTTACTATTTGTAAATATGCTGATTATGATATTTAACACAAATCTCACCATCCACGACCACACACTTATAGAGCTACATAAACGAATATTCATTGTGAAATAATGCCTTTATAGAATGCTGCCAAGGTTGTTCGTTCCCAGTGTGAAGCTAGTTGGGTTGGTGGTGACACCGCACGGTGGAGCACCAGTAAGAATGATGTCTTCGGCACTGGAAAAGAGTTCAAATTTCTTTTTTAGGCAGGTAAGTTCATTTATTTTTTTAAGAACACAGTTGAATTTGTCTGTCCTCTCACAAATGACGATCTCCTTGTAATTTTATAAATGGAAAAGATTTGGGTTACTAAAACTTTACTGTTACTAAAAGCGACAAAGCTTTTTTGGTTGCTAATCATCTATGTTGCCGATTGAATTGTATCTAAAAACCAAGTCAAAACAGATTATTAAAAAATCTATATTCGACGCGACGACTCTGACAGGGGCAAATGTGGCAACAGTGGCTCGTCGTTTTTGAAGTTTCTAGTTTTAATTACCTTGCTACGATTGCTCCCTGCAATTTCATTGGCTAGTTACATATGAAAGTAGTGGCGTTTTCATTCCAGCTGTTTCATGTAACTAAAGAAAAATAAATCCCGCCAAGCTACTGGCCGACCCTGCTTAGAGCCAGATTTTCGGCTCGAGGAGCAGCGATTAGGCAAGTAACCACCTTAAAGAACCTCTAATCTTTGTTTGTTATGGTAGCCATACACACTACGAGAAATCGTTACGATCAGACTGTACAGTTCGAACGGTACCGATAAATCGTAGCGTGTATGTTATAAAACTGCACAATTTCCTATACGTACGCCACGTACGATAAACTGTTCCGTTCGAACTGTACAGTCTGATCGTAACGATTTCTCGTAGTGTGTTTGGCTAACCATTACTCAATCACGCAAAAACGACGGAACGGATTTTTATGATATGTGCCACATATATAATTTATAACTGGTATGGAATCAGGATAATTTATATTCCGAAATAAATGTAGTTTCCTGATGATTTCTCAAAGGCTAGTCAACAATAAAAAAACAAAAATTCACATTAATGCTCCTGTTAACTTGGGAGCAGAGCGATGTATGATTTTTAGTTACTAAACATTAATGACTAGCTTCTGACCATGTCGTAATAATAAACTACTTATTTAATGTTTTGATGTTCTTCAGTGCCTTACCGTTTACAAAATAATGTTACGACATGGTCAGAAGCTAGTCATTATTTAAAGTGACGTACGAGAATTTAGCTTGGGGGGGGGGGGGGGGGTATGACTACATAGATCAATATTTCTGTTTCTGTTGAGAGAAACAAGTGTTCACAAGGCCGTTTCGTTGACCGGTACTTTATAATGATAGATTACGTAGTTACGTGATATTTGGTTAGGTACTACACACACATACGGCGTGTATTGTTAAAGATTGGGTACAGTAATATTAATATTTTGGGTTGTAGACATTAAAACATCTGATGAGTGTCCAGAATGACACGTATAATTGTTATTTATATATTTGGTGACCCTTCCAGCTAATTATAGTTTTATAAAGATACAGAATATTGAGATAGAGATTGAATAGATTGACGCAAATATATAAATATTATACTATAGGTGCTTAGTAATAGCTCGGCGACACATTTGGTATAATGGACTTAATCGTTATTATTCTAATAGTGTTAGGGGCCTATTGTATAACAATTCACTTTCGCCCTCCCTTTCATTTTATAGTTGGGACAAAGCTATGTCAAATTCTCTATGCTTGTCGCGAAATCCGAACTGATGTTTTGGCACTACTTCTTTAAGAAATTCCCTCATTCTATTGAGTAATATCCGCTCGAACAGTTTTCCAACAACTGACAGCAGTCTGATAGGTCTATAAGATGTTGTCTCTTGGGGAGGTTTTCTCGGTTTAGGCACTATCATCACCTGTGCTATTTTCCACTGTCCTGGGAAATGTTCCAGTCTCAGGCAAGCAATAAAAATGTGCACTAATTTCATTATTCCTTTAAATGACACGTTTTTTAGCAGTGTTGCATCTATGCCATCATAACCAGGTGCTTTACCTTCATGTAGTTTTTTTTTATTTCTCTTATTACTTCTTTAGGACTAGTACATTTAAGGGGTAGGGTACATTTGGTTTGCTGACTCAAGATATTCTTTAATTTTCACGTTCTGTTCATGATTACAGTCTGGATGCGATTGGAAGACAGAGCATAAATGTTCTGCGAAAGTAGTTGACTTCTCCTTGTCAGATCTGGCCCATCCTCCCTTGTTGTTGTTGATGGCTGGGATGTGTACCTTAGGACGCTTTAAATTTTTGGTTACTTTCCACAGCGAGTAGTCTGTGTCATTAGTGGGACTTAAGTTTGAAAGGAGGTGTTGTATAATGTTGTTTTCTATACTATTTATGTGATTTTTGAGTTCTTCCGTGTATTTATTAAAGGCTTTTATCGGACGGATAACCAGTTGTGTGCCATTGTTTACAGTAGTCTACGACGCTCTAGTATTTTTTCTTTGATGTCTTTTTAACAGGTATTATTTTTAGGCGGTAAACCTTTATTTTTACTGATCGGAGAAGCTATGTAAGCGGCGTTATGCATAATCATGTTAAAGCATTCAATCTCATTTTCCAATTCTTCAGCTGAACTAATAAGATTTTTTAGTTTCGTTTCAGAAGTAATTAATTGTTTATATGTTTCCCAGTTTGTGGTTTTAGGTTTATATATTTTTAATGGAAGTTCCACAAGCTCTACATTTGTATCGACGCTTAAGATGACTGGTGTATGGTCTGATGTGAGGTCAATGCATTGATCAATCTTTACATAATTGCTGTCTACATTCCTTGCAATATAGAAGTTCAAAAGATCTGGCACCCTTCCCCTATCAGTGGGCCAGTAGGTAGGGTCCCTCCCGGAGAAATATTGCATTTTCGCCTCTTCTACTTTATAGAGTTGTCTCCCTCTAGTTTTGATTAGCCTGGAACCCCAGTGTACATGCTTTGAATTCCAATCGCCACTACAAACAAATCTAGTGCCCAACGAAGAAAAGTAGTTACTGAAGTCTTTAGTTGTAATGTTGTGTTTTGGCGGACAGTAGACAACAGAAAAAAGTTAGTCGTTATATAGATTTATAATCTGGTGTTAGTGATGATCCCCCTTATAATAATTCCAAAACGCGGGTTAAAGTTAGTCTTGGTCTAACCTAATGTTGTCTGTCTGTCCTCTTTTTAGAAAACGAAAGTGACAGGATCAGTTTTAGTCCAGGTTTAACTGAGTCCACGTTTTGTAATGAGGCGGTATGTGTCTACAGCTATTCGACACCGTCAGCAGCACATACACTTATCTCCTGGCTGACAACAGAACCCGAGAGGCGGTCCTTATAGATCCGGTGATCGAGCATGCAGAGCGTGACGCAAAGCTTATTAATGAGCTCGGATTCGTATTACTGTTTGCAAGTTAGTATTCATCATACTCATCATCATCATCAGCCTATTAATGTCGCCACTGCATGGGCACAGACCTTCCCAATGGATGGAATTGGGAGATTGGGCCATGAGCCACCACGCGGGCTCAGTGCGGATTGGCGGGTGCTAACGGCTGCAGATGCACCGGGACCAACGGCTTAACGTGCCTTCCGAAGCACGGAGCAACTCGAGATAGAAGTTTTTGGTCATCCATCCAATGACTGACCACTGCGAAAGTTGCTTAACATCAACGATCGCAGCCGAACGCGCTAACCACTCGCGCCATCGAGCTCCTCAAGTTAATATCATTACTTGTGAATTGTTTTTTTAGGTGATAAATAAACTTAAGTCATGTCTAATAGTAAGTGATTTAGCGACTAGTTCCTTTGGTCGCAACAATATGAACCCCTGGTTGGTCTACGGGAATTTTTGTTTACCCGTTGTTCCACCGTTCTGATTAGTCTTCTCCAGTGGGTCTACGGGTATTTTTTTTTTACGTGGTAAACATTCATTTAAAACTCATCGCTTCTGAAGTACATTTCGCTAAAAGAAAAGGCCTATGACAAAAATATTTAAATTACGCACATACAAAATACTTAGGCAACGGCGCGATTGATACTTTCGTATCGCCAAAGACTATTGAATTTTGGTAGCCGCCTTACCATCAGCCGCGCCGGGCCATATGATTGTTTTCCACCCTTTTTATATAAATAAATGTGTTTTCATTTCACACCTATTCATGAATGAGAAATGATATAGGTTATTCAAAGTTAATGGCAGCTGTGAGCTATTAGGTCAATTCGTGTCGCAGACGAAATGTGAGTGTGCTCGGGACTTCACTATACAGAACCTAACTAAAATCTGCGCATTTTAAGTTCGCTGTTAACTTCACAGTCATAAAAAAAGAATAAACTAGGATTAGTTACCCCATGTTTATGCTGCTGTTCATTAAATGATAATTTGCACTTGGGTGATATAAACAGCACTTCGTTTCTTAATAAGGGTTTAAGTGTTAATATAAAAGTCACAATGTTACAATACGTATGCCTATCTCTATTCTAGTGAACACCCACATGCATGCGGACCACGTGACTGGTACTGGCAAACTAAAGTCCTTATTGCCGGGCACTAAGAGCGTTATCGGCAAAGCGTCCGGCGCCCAGGCCGACCTCCATTTGGTGGAAGGAGACCTGGTCAAGTTTGGCGATTACCAGCTATTGGCAACAGCCACCCCGGGACATACGAATGGATGCTTTACATACATATGTCATGAACAGGTGAGTTTTTATCTGATGTTAGAACTAAGAGCATTATTGGCAAAGCGTCCAGCGTCCTGGCCGACCTCCACTTGGTAGAAGGAGACCTGGTCAAGTTTGGCGATTACCAGGTACTGGCGACAGCTACCCTGGGACATACGAATGGATGCTTCACGTATATATGTCATGAACAGGTGAGTTTTTATCTGATGTTAGAATTAAGAGCGTTATTGGCAAAGCGTCCGGCGCCCAGGCCGACTTCCACTTGGAGACATGGTCAAGTTTGGTGATTACCAGCTATTGGCGACAGCTACCCCGGGACGGATGGATGCTTCACATATATATGTCATGAACAGGTGAGTTTTTATCTGATGTAAGTACTAAGAGCGTTATTGGCAAAGCGTCCAGCGTCCTGGCCGACCTCCACTTGGTGGAAGGAGACCTGGTCAAGTTTGGCGATTACCAGCTACTGGCAACAGCTACCCCGGGACATACGAATGGATGCTTAACGTATATATGTCATGAACAGGTGAGTTTTTATCTGATGTAAGCACTTAGAGCGTTATTGGCAAAGCGTCCGGCGCCCAGACCGACTTCCACTTGGTGGAAGGAGACCTGGTCAAGTTTGTCGATTACCAGCTTTTGGCAACAGCTATCCCGGGACATACGAATGGATGCTTCACATATATATGTCATGAACAGGTCAGTTTTTATATTTATGAATTTCGTGGAAGACACTTAGGCCGTTGTTCCCGTCTGCATCTGTAGTTGTTAAAACCCACCAATCCGCACTGGACCTGCGTGGTGCGACACGGCCCAATCTTCCTATTCCATCCATAGGGAAGGCCTGTGCCCCAGCAGTGGGGACAATAATAGGCTAATAAAGAATTATACCAACATCTTTCTACTCAAATTTGTGTGCTTTACATGATGGAAATACAGGTCTGATGGAGTTTATCAACGGCAAAATTCCGTAATAAAAGGCACTCACGGTCGTACTCAGTGAAGTCAAATAAACGTTAAAAACTAATGTTTTGTCAAGTGGCGTGTAGTCTTATTCAATTGCTTTGCTATCGTAAAGAAAGAGACACCATCACCTTAATTTTATTATAAGCAGTGAACAGCAAACAGTCTGTTTGATTTAATTCTATAGAAAAGGTTTACTTAAAAATACCTCTCGTTTGGGCGCTGCCTTGCAACTTCAGAAATACTGAAGAAGAAGACTTTGACAGGTCATTAAGATTTTTGTACCATAACGGTTAGTGCATCAGCTCGGCTAGCGGAAGGCGCTGGTTCGAATCCAGATTAACACTTGAGGAGAGTAGATTTTTCCTAGAAAACTTTAATCAAATTAAAAATTTAATTGATGCCGATGTACGGCTATTACAGTCGAGTCGACGACTTCTTTTGGAAATAGTACCTATATTGTGCATTCCACTAAAACGATTGTAAACAAGAACGTTTTGTTTTTAATTATTTCTGTCGAATTCTTATCTAGCTCACACCTATTTGGTTGATTGTGTTATAATGCGATATCAGTAGCAAACAACAACAGTCTTTGATTGCGCTTATTGTGGCTATTAGCTTTGTGCGTTACAGTTTCACTGTGATGAAAAGAAAGATACGAATCATTTCGTTACAATGAACTACATCTTTCATTTAGTTAAATATTTTCTCTGGTTCCGGCGTTATAGCCACTGGCTAAGAGTATAGTAAGTGAGACGAGCGTTTAAAAATACCAAACTTACTATGTTAAATATCACTTCCTTCCACAACCTATTGAATTTGACGACCTCCGTGGTCGAGTGGTTTGTTCGCCGGGTTTCATGGTGTCGCCGACTCCAGAGTCCCGGTGGGAGCAGATGTTTGTGTGATGAATACGAGCATTTGTACTCCAGTCATGAATGTTTAATATGTATTTTTAAATAAATATACTTTTATATGTACAGTATAATAATATATTCCATCCGTTACCCTAGCTTCCCATAACACAAGCCTTACAGTGCTTACTTTGGGGACTAGGCTAATTGGTGTGAGTGTTGGAAATATTTATTTATTTATTATTATTGAAAGATGTTTTAATTGACAATCATCAGAGTGAAAGGTATGGGAGAGAATATAAAGGGCAGACATGATTAAAATACAAATTTCCTTATTTTCCTTGTGTCACACTGAAAAACACAATTAGGGTAGTATTATTAATAAGATAAAAAGACTGGCACGACGTGAAAGGATCTGGATTCGAAATCCTGGTTTGTGTGATGAGCACAAATATTTGTGTTTTTTCTATTAGGTAGGCAAATTACTCTACCCCATCCTGATGTTAAATGGTGGGAAAGTCCAGACGTGAAAATAGCCGGTAAAGCAGTTGTGAACTACCACACCAGACAATCTTACCTTGTTTTTCTTTACTTTACGTCCCTTTTGTAAAAGACTCCGGATTGTAGGAAGGAGGGAACACTGGGATTGTCATGAAAATACAGCAGCACAATAGGGTATTTGACAAGTTTAAGAAAACGGTTTATGGAGTCCGTAAAAAATGGATATTCATCATTCTGTTGTGTATTTCAGTAAAAATAACCAAATCAAAAACTCCATTTTCAAGTTGCCGCGAAAACGTTTCTCTGGAAAATATGGCGTCTTACTAGTGTGTGACGTCACACGACTGTTATTAAAACGTCAAATGATACAATGTAATGTCACTTTAACCGGAAGTTTACTTGCGTGTGAAGTCATTTTAGGCTCCGCCAATCCCAAGCGTTTTGGGTCACGTGACAATAGATAAGAAAACTATTATCTTTTTCGTGAGTTCTTAGTAAGATTATGTTTTTTTTTTGTAAAAATATTAACATCCCCTGCCAATATTCATTCTAAACACAGATGCTAACAATTCGCACTTTATTTTTAATACTGTCAAATGCCCTATTACAATCCTTTTTTTTTATTTACTTTTCATAGCACTTATATACTCACTCACCCACCGATCTCCAGGAATTTCCCCCACGTAAAAAAAGAAAAGTAAACAATGAGATTTTTGGTATCGCAAGCGTCTATAGGCTATGGTGGCCGCTTACAATCAGGCGGGAATTACCCTAGTTTGCTAAACTTTTAATATAAAAAAACCGGCCTAGTGCGAGTCGGACTCGCGCACCGAGGGTTCCGTACAAACCTGAATTTTCAAAAATATTTTTATTATATGATGTAACAAAAAATTTACGGTTTTCGCAATTTTTCCTTTATCTGTACTATAAGACGTTACTTCGTACCAAATTTCAAGATTCTAAGTTCACGGGAAGTACCCTGCAGGTTTTGATTCCCGTGCGAGTTTCGAAAATTTGCGGAAATTTGCGGCATAAACGGCTGTATCAAAGATCCAAGGGACAGTAGACCTGAGTGATATGAATGAATTTCAGTTTGAAACCTCCATGCGTTCCTGAGAAAAACGTCTGTCTTGACAGACGGACGGACGGACAACAAAGTGATCTTATAAGGGTTCCGTTTTTTCCTTTTGAAGTACGGAACCCTAAAAAGGTAATTTTTGTAGGATGTCGGGAATAATTTTTATCATTATATTTCAGGGCATAGCGTTTACAGGCGACACCCTTTTAATAAGAGGCTGTGGTCGCACAGACTTCCAGGAGGGATCGTCAGAGACCCTCTACCAATCAGTGCATAAGAAAATCTTTACACTACCAGACAACTATACTTTATATCCTGCGCACGATTACAAGGGACAAACGGCGACTACGGTGGGGGAGGAAAAGAGATATAACCCACGGCTGACGAAAACGCTAGAAGAATTCATACATATTATGGACACATTGAATTTGCCATACCCGAAGATGATTGGTAAGGATTTTATTGATATATTTACATTACAAAGGATCTCGATGGCGTAGGTGGTTAGCGCATTCGTCCTGCGATCGTGAAAGTTAATAAGCAATTTTCGCAATGGTCGGTCATTGGATGGGTGACCAAAAACTTATTATCTTCAGCTCCTCCGTGCTTCGGAAGGCACGTTAAGCCGTCACAAAAAAACAATTCAAAAAATGATCTTTTAACGAAAGATTCTCGCATGACATGATATTTATGACTTTTATGAATGATGTCCTAAAGGGGCTGCCAGACCAAGTTTTTCTGGTGAGACCAGATTATTGTCTCTGAAAAGTTATTGTGGTCCGACTGTATTTTCCTAACATGCACACCAATTAGCTTAGCCCCAAAGTAAGCACTGTAAGCTAGTGTTATGGGATACTAGAGTAACAGATACAATACATAAACTGATACATTTTTTATTGATAAATTTTATTATTTATACGAAGATAATATGTAGATTAAAATAACACAATCTTATAAACTATACTGATACATATATTAGAAATTTTTTAAAGTTTGTGTTATTTGAATGTATTATCTTCATTATTATTAAGTCTAGCACACAAATATCTGTCCCCACCGGAATACGACCCGGGACCTCTGGAGTAGGCGACATCTTTAAACCACTCGGCCACGGAGGTCGTTGTTAATCAACTGATGGATGATTGATACTTTAAAACCTTTGTATGTATTTCCATATCTATCTTTTGATATCATGTCTTTGATGCTCTGCTATACCCACGAATAACATAACTATGACGGTAATTTATAAATCTGGCGTTAATTTAAATAAATCCGAATACTATCTTTTTGTTTTATAATATTATTTTTCTGTAATTTTTTCAGACAAAGCGATTCCTGCTAACAAAGTTTGCGGGATCTACTGAGACGAGACACTTCGTTAAATAACCAATCAAGTAACCTTTTAAATATTAAGTATAACTGATTTTTAAACTTTGCACAAATTATTATTTTAATGAAATGTCACTAAAAAGTCCTGAAGCTCATACAAGACATTAGATTGAAACTTTAAGCTTCATTATTAGTTTAAGTAGTTTTATAGTATATTGCCACGACTAAGTTGTCTGTGATAAATGTTATAATAAATCTATAGAAAATATGTATGTATTTACAAACACCATATTTTTTTAAATAGCATCCTAATAACTTTATTTTTAATGGGTTGATATTGCCATAAAGTTATCTTATTGCTAATAATAATAATACAGGGACTTACTCATTGATATTAACCATAGACAGTATGGTCTGAATTTTCGCTGCACACCTGTACAGTAAAACTGGGCAGAGACAAGGCCATCGGACGGCCTATAGTTCTTTATGTATTAATATGCTTTTATTGTTATCTAGTTATACCTTCTATAAATAACACTATATATTTATACTTTACAATCAAAAAATCAAGATGCGAGTGGACGATATTGAGTTTGAATTAATTTATGTAATTAATGAGGGTTTTATGGAATGTCGGGCGCCAGGTGGCAGCATTGGGGCGAAAGGTCTACTCATCCGTCAAATCACATGTCGCCATAGTCGGTGGATCAATTTAAATGCTCGCTCGATTAATTCACGTCAAAATCTTCATACACAAGACCTCATCTCACAGTAGTGTTAATTAGTGCCGTGTATTTTCCTAAACACTTACGACATGATTTCATGTAAATTTCGCTAATTCTGTTAAATATGAATGAGTTTTTTCCACCATTTCCTCTTATCAGCTAAAAGATGCCCTGAATGGGTGATAGGAAAAAATTTGGACTATTCATAAGAGCTTTCAATAAGTTAATTTCAAAAAAAATATAAGTTCAGTTCGTAGTAGGTATTGGCTGTTTTTTCTATATTTCTGGATAGTTACTAATTTCATAGTTCATTCTTTATGTGTATGACATTAACTATTATTCCATTTTGCGATCTGGCTCGAAGGACCAAAAAGTATTTGTGTAATAGTTCTGTGAAAGTTTGCAACAAATCAATTGTACTAACTAAATTAACTAGTACTCATAATTATATCTGACCCGTGACGTCACAAGTCTGCGCGATGCCGCCATCTTGCCCAGGGAAACTTTTATTTTTGGATCTGCGATTTGGCTCGAAGGAACAAAAAGTGTTTGTGTAATAGTTCTGTGAAAGTTTGCAACATATCAATTGTTGAATTGTTAACTAGTACCCATATAGTATATCTGATTAGTGACGTCACAAGTCTGTGAGACGCCTCCATCTTGCCCAGGGAAACTTTTCCGCAGCATATTTGAAAATGAATTTTCATTCACATTCACTTTTTTACTTATCCGCTATGCCCTGCCCCTTCTTGTCCGTTAATACTAGTAAACTACTTAAAGCTTAGAATTCTGAGTTGGGAATAAGGTTTAGGTGAAGTATATTCATTGTCGCATTCATCATCAACCACAATTAGCTAAGGTTAAGAAATTCTATATGGAAACTATGAAAATAAAAAAAAAACACAGGGAACAAAGAATTGTGATTTTTCAAATATGGTTCAAAGGTTACTTCCACATATTTTAATACATGCCCTAAACTTGTCAATATAATGCCAGACAGCTACAGGCCATGTTACCCAGAACTGTCAAATTTTTCAACCTGACTCTGGACTTTATGTCCCTGGATCTAAGATTCATAATCAATTGAGAATTTTTTAATAGTGTGTTTTAACTTGATGTGTAGCTGTCTGTACATTAATTTGTGCATATTTTAAATTAAAGCTTAAATTGGGATAATGTTTATAAAATATCATTTTTGTATACAATTGATAAGTGTTATTAATTAATAAATATGTTTATAAGTATATTTGTTAATTAACGGCCACTTTCAATACTGAACCTCCAGTAAAAGGTAAGGATAATCTGGTTCCGTTTATTAACAACAGTTGTTACTAAAGTCTTAATAATAAAAACTATTATGGCAACAAGCTCTAGCAGGCTTACCTCTTATACCGAATTCACACGAGACGATTTAAATTGATCAAATTTTATCGTTCAATTGCGTTTCTTCAATTTGATTGAAAGTCAAAGAAAAGTTCAAACGGTTCAAATTGCATGCGATTTAGCAGTTAATCAACTAAAATTGCCTCGTATGAACATGGTTTTACTGGAGTTTAGTTATTGAAACTGGACGTAAGATAACCTTATAGGTTAGCGTAAGTTAAAATCTTTTGGAAATTGTTATATAATAATTGTATAATATTATTGTAATATATGTATAATAAATGAGAGAAATTTTAGCATTATTTTGACAACCTTCTTCGAATCTAAAGAAAATTTTATTAGCTAAAAATCCATTCGGTGCAGTTTGCAAACGGGATTCGAATCCGCATCTTCCGCTATCCGGGCGGACTCGCTAACCAATTATGCTGACGAGACCTTAATGGCCGTGTCGAATTGCCTCTGGTATTTCTCACGCTGTAAGATATCTTGCAAATCATCCTCCTCCGGGATAGCAGACAGAGTGGATTTTTTTCTAGTGAAATAGCCTAAAATTCTATATAGAGTAAGATCCTAAGTCCGCCAGACCTTACTTATTTTCTTATGGACAAATATGAATAATTGAGTAGTATTAGTGTGTACAATGAACGTATACATACTCGCTTACTTGTGCCATGGGCCAATTTTCAGGTATCAGGTGGCACAGGCACTTAAAAATTTTACTCACTTTACTTACAAACTGAGGACTGATTCCTACGTATGCTGTAGAGAATATTGTAAACAATACTAATAAATACTGCCAGACACATTCTGTCAAGAGTATTTTTTGCCAGACAATGTCAAAAGCAAAAAGCAAAGTTTGAACTGGCAACTTACAAAATATAATAATAGTCACCTACATATCATCTCTTATCTATTAGACAAGTCCGTCCGTCCGTCCGTCCGTCTGTCTGTGGTGCTGTTTCAGCGGCCAAACCGTAAGAGATAGGTAAAGAGAATGTTTAAGTTATAAGTTAAGAATAGTCTAATAAGACTACAAACCGGATTTGAGTACCGTAGCACTTCCGGTTTTCGAGAAATCACGAATTTCAAAAGAAACCACACAAAATCTCCGAAGTTCTCAATTAATTAAATACATTTTTTTTTAAATCAGGTTTTGGTGAACATTTGGTTCACTGGTTTGCTAGTAGATAGATATTAGGTTGCAGACTGTAAGTAACTTTGTGTTTTTGGGTTCGTAATAGGACCTTCGGCCATGGCATTCGGTAACTCCCAATCCAGGGAGCCGTGGTCATGGCATAGAGGTATTATAAAATAGAGTAGGGGAGATATAGACTCTACTACAAGTGGAAGTGTCCCTCTAATAGAAAGAGAAAGAAAATGAGAGACCACTAGCTTTCTCTCTCTAATCGCATATGCGCATTGGCAACCGTAAGCATCTTACTATTTCGATGTGATGCCATTGGATGCCATGCGTCACAAGTAAGAGAGTAGCTAGCGGTCTCTCATCTTCTTTCTCTTTCTACTAGACTGACACTTTTAGAGCCGCCTTCCCCACTCTATTCTTATACCTCTATGGGTCATGATCGATTAGTGCGGGGTAGATTGGGGAGTTGTTTCACCTGGTAGGTATGGAAGACGAAGCACGTTGACCAGTGTAGCTCAGGACCGTGCCGGAGGGCGTGGAGTTGGGTGCGGGACAGCTGCAGGAGTGGGGGGTAGTCGCCTTTGCTTGCATGAGCGACTGCTCTTTTGCGAACTGTTATAACTTGCCTACCTAATGCCTACTACAGAAATATTAGCCCGTCGCGAGTCGTTATCCTTAAAACTAATAAAGGATGTAGTAGTAAATAATAAAGTGATAGTAGTGTAAATAACAAACATAAATATATAAATAAAGTGATCGCAGAAAAGAATCTTTACATTGTGCCCAAATTCAGTTCTGTGGCCGTCGCGTCCCGGCAAGGGGAGAAGTAGAGGGGGTCACTGGCCTGGGAATATTCGTCTGCAGATAAGGAGCAGGAGCTGGTCCTTCGAAACTTCAGGTGTCAGCAAAGAACATCGGTAGGTACGGCCGACGACTGTCCGTTACGTTCAAATGGTGCAGCTGTTTCCTGGCTGTAAATCCTCCGGCAGCCTCTGGGAAACAATAGTCCTTTGGATGAGGATGAATGTGGAAGAGTCTACGAGGAGTAAGTAGTAGAAGACCAAAGAAATTAATGATAGACTGCGAAACATGATATGATTAAGAGAGCAGTAATGTTGAGATAACGTCTGATCACACAGAATGTAAGGGAAAAATATATTGCACTGTTGCACCGACCATAAAAGACCAAAGAAATTAATGATAGACTGCGAAACATGATATGATTAAGAGAGCAGTAATGTTGAGATAACGTCTGATCACACAGAATGTAAGGGAAAAATATATTGCACTGTTGCACCGACCATAAAAGACCAAAGAAATTAATGATAGACTGCGAAACATGATATGATTAAGAGAGCAGTAATGTTGAGATAACGTCTGATCACACAGAATGTAAGGGAAAAATATATTGCACTGTTGCACCGATCATAAAAGACCAAAGAAATTAATGATAGACTGCGAAACATGATATGATTAAGAGAGCAGTAATGTTGAGATAACGTCTGATCACAAAGAATGAAAGGGGAAAATACATTGCATTGTTGCACCGGCCATAAAAAATATGGGGCGAGCGAATGATGGTGATGAATATAAAATACAACTATAACATAAATTACACGTTAACGCCTTTCATTAATTGAAAAAAAAAGATCATTAACTTAACACATCATCGAGGCCTACTTAAATAACTTGTACTGTAAAACTGGGACAGCGATATGACACATGTTGGCAATAGCAATCAGTCCCTCAAGCACAAGCTTTGACAGATCGCATCGTCATAGTTTTAATGAAATAAGAAGCGCCCCTACCGGACGTAAGAACAAACTGGTTTCTTCCACAGAAAATTTAACAATAGAGATTGCTACAATTACCGAACAGCCAAAGTTCGAGGTTGTACTAGATATAGCCATAGTAAGCCAAATGCTGCTTTTAATTATTGTTATTTATAATCAACATTCTATACATAATAC